TGATAAAAATCAGTTTCCCTGGGGAAAACTGCCGCTTTGGAGGCATGGACTCCGTGGCAATATACCCAGTTGAGGTCCCTCCCCTCCCCCAAACCCCGCCGTCCCCAGCAATGCTGCCCCTAAGCAGTGGAGTCTTGTGAGCAAAAATTCTGCTTTGTGAGCTACCGGCATGAAAGTGGTGAGCGTGTGATTTGGCTGCTGCATCAATTACTTTGCTCTGCAGACGATACCACTCTAATGGCAGAAAGTGAAGAGGACCTCAAGAGCCTCTTGCTCAGGATAAAAGAGGAGAGTGCAAAAGTGGGCTTGAAGCTCAACATAAAAAAAAAACTAAGATCATGGCATCCGGCCCCATCACTCCTTGGCAAATAGAAGGGGAAGTCGTGAGAGTCCCTTGGACTGCAAGAAGATCAAATCAGTCAATCCTAAAAGAAATCAACCCTGACTGTTCCCTGGAAGGCCAGATAATGAAACTGAAGCTCAAATACTTTGGCCACCAAATGAGAAGGGAGCACTCCCTGGAGAAGACCCTGATGCTGGGAAAGATTGAAGGTCAAAGAAGACGGGGATGGCAAAGGATGAGATGGTTAGACAGTGTCATCGATGCAACGAACATGAAGTTGAGCCAACTTCAGAGGACGGCAGAAGACAGGAAGGCCTGGCGTGATCTGGTCCATGGGGTCGCGAAGAGTCAGACTCGACTGTGCAACTGAACAACAACAACTGGAGCCTTCCTTCTTGAGCGAAGACAAAAACGTGCGAGCCGGAGGCTTAAAAACGGTGAGCTAGCTCACACTAACTCAGCTTAGAGGGGACATTGGTCCCCAGGCTTCACTCCCTCCCCAAATCTCCTGGTATTTCCCATCTGAGAGTCCGCATGTCTACATGGGAGATCTCACAAGCCGGCAGAGGAAGGACACGCAGGCAGGTGGGAGGCATGCACGTGGGAGGAAGAAAAGGAGGGTATTGAATGGGGGGGGTAGTGGTGGGTAGAAGAGGGGGTGCCTCTGGGAACTGTCTGCCCAGTGGCCCTCCAAACCTGACACAAGCTCTTCTACCGCCCTCTTACGTAAGATGCAAAGGAGAGATTCTTTTAAAAAGCCAATGTATGCAACGGGAAGCAACTTGTTTCTACATAGGTGGACAAACGGCAGTGAAAGGTTGGCTGCCCCTCTCCAAGCACTGCCCCCTATTTCACAGATTCACAGCACTCCCAGTGCTGGAGTCACTCCTCCTTACCTGTGACCAAGATCGAGAAGAACACGGCTATCCCCAGCGGAGCCTCGGTGTCCCGCCGCCACTTCTTGCACTCCATCCTCCTCCGCCGGAGTCAGGAAAGTCAGTGGTTCCTTCAGCTTGCAATAAAGGTGTGTTTGCAACCACCGCCCTGGCTAGGTTTGACCTGCTCAGTGGCCTGAAGCCAACTGTGAGTTCCTATGAAAAGTTGCAATCCAATATCCAAGCGGGGAAGAGGCCGGGCTTAGTCAGACGCAGGGTGGAAAATACAGCTTGTTCCCCATCGGGCAAGTCGTCACTGTCAGTCTCCAGAATCCAGCAGGAGGATGTTGGTGAGGCTTCAGTTTACCACAGCTATTGCACTGCTCAGCAAGAGAGCAGGTTTCCGGAGAAGCGGGCTTCGGCTTTTGGGGATATTCTCCAAACGGCTTCCCTTCAGCCTCAGGGGGTGTGGCTCTGGAATGGAAGACCAAGAGACATCTAGTGGGGCTTCCTACCTTCAGGTGGTGGCTGGAGACATCCTGGGATTCTAACATCTCCCGGCAACAGAGATCAGTTCACCTGGAGCCAATGGCTGCTTTGGAAGGTGGACTCTATGGCATTATACCCCACTGAAGTCCCACCCCTCCCCAAATCCCGCCCTCCTCAGGCTCCACCCCCAAATCTCCAATAATTTCCAAATTCAGAGCTGGCAAATCTCACATCTAAAGAGGAGGAGGCTCCTTTATAAAGACATGTACAAGCCAGTTTGGTGTAGCGGTTAGGAGAGTGTAATCTGGAAGAGCCGGGTTTGATTCCCCACCGCTCCACATGCAGCTGCCGGCGTGACCTTGGGTCAGTTGCAAGTTCATTCAGAGCTGTTCTCTCGCAGGCCGTTCTCGAGAGAGCTCTCTCAACCCCACCTACCTCACAGGGTGTCTGTTGTGGGGAGGGGAAGGGGAGGGGATCGCAATCCGCTCTGAGGTACCTTCGGGTAGTGAAGGGCGGTGTATAAATCCAATCTCTTCTTCTTCTTCTTCATTTTGCGTGGACCCTTTCATATTTCTAAATTAATCATCTACCTCCCAAATGTATCTATACAGATCTAAACAGTTAAGGCATTGGGTGTGAAATCCTGCAGGTATTTCCCACCCACGTTCAAACCTGCTGACACCACATCATTACAGGAAGATGCCATACCCCAAGGGTACATCACGTACATTCCATGTGACTCAGGTTGCCAACTCTAGATTGGGAAACGGTTGGAGATTTGAGCGGTGGAGCCCTGGGAGGGTGGAATGTAATGCCAGAGAATCCACCCTCTGAAGCGGCCGTGTTCTCCAGCGGGACTGATCTCTATCGTCTGGAGATCAGTTGTAATAGTGGGAGGCCTCCACTATGCCTGAAGAAGATTTGTTCGAAACACGCAGGTTATGCCCGGGAGGCGTGTTGCTAGGCCTGCTTGCTAGCTGAATCACCTCATGGGAAAATACATCTACCAGGCTTGCTTGCTAAGCTGAATCATCATAGTGAGAAATACAAGCTGCCTGCTACCTCTACCTGATGGATTGTCACTTGGAAAATGTACAATAGGTTGCTGCATTGTTCGGTGCACATAACTGTAAAAAGGTAAAGGTTTCCCTTGCTCGAAAGCCAGTCGAATCCGACTCTAGGGTTGCGGTGCTCATCTCCGTTTCAAAGCCGAAGAGCCAGCGCTGTCCGAAGACATTTCCGTGGTCATGTGGCTGGCATGACGAAACACCGAGGTGCACGGAACGCTGTTACCTTCCCACCGAAGTGATACCTATTTATCTACTTGCAATTTCTTGCTTTCGAACTGCTAGGTTGGCAGGAGCTGGAACTAGAGAGGGGAGCTCACTCCGTCATGCGGCAACTCTGGTCTCGAACTGCTGAACTACCAACCTTCCACAGCCTGCAGTTCAGCCTCTTAACCACTTGAGCCTCTTAACCACCGCAACTCCTACAAATAACTGTACATTGGTATTTATCCTCCATCAGGAAGAAGACAGTTGGACTCTTCATGTTATATAACTTAGTTTGAAAGTGTTTGAAATGTGATGTTGTAGTTTGAAAGTCTTTACAATACACTAGAGTTGATGTTGTGTATAAAAAGCAAATGTATTTAGCTATAAGTATATGTGAATATTGTGTTTATTATTTCAACATGGTGTTTTCTGTGTTTACCCACCTGGAGGTCGGCAAACCTACCAGTGGTCTGTCCAACAAGTACAAAATCCAACAGTGGCTGGTCAGATAGGGTATCTTACACATTTGCTGGAGGAGGGCTCCTGGTTTGGTCCTGGTATCTTCCGGCACACACACTGAGATGACATCAGCCAGATGTGACATCATCATGCTGGGTACTTTGTACAGGGGCTGCTTGGCTAAAAACTCTATGGTCACCATAGAGTTTTTAGCCAACTGTGTGACGTGCCCGGCATAGTAAGGCTCCCCCCACCAGCTGGCCGGCCAGCGGCTGATTGGGAGCCCTGGGGTTAGCAGCCCTACAGTCAAATGCCCTGGGATGTACATAGTCAAGGCCCACTGGCCATAGCTCTCATCTGTTGACTGCTTCCTAGAGTTGCCATTCTCCAGGAAGTCAAGGATGAGAGATCACGGGACAGGCTGAATTTGTAAGGAAAAACAACCGTGATATAATAACGAAACCTTGTTAGGGGAAAATATATCTTCTTTAATTTTCTTTGAAGTAAATTGGTCTCCGGTTTTTCTTAAATTGGTCTCAATTTAAGAAAAGACCAATTTAAGAAACACCTGAGACCAATTTACTTCAAAGAAAATTAAAGAAGATATATATATTTTCCCCTAACAAGGTTTCGTTATTATATCACGGTTGTTTTTCCTGACAGGTTCAGACCGATTTCACACAAGAGCTGCGTCGCGGTCGCACCTCCCTTTGCCCCGCTTCTATTGGTCAATTTCCCAACCAAAGCCGCGCAGCCGCGTTTTGACCCGCGGCTTCGCCCAATTTTCCCCGCGGTTTCGTGATCCTGTTTTTTGATTACTTGGCTGCTTGGAAGTAATTAGATTTTGCACTCAGGAAGACTTGTACTTGATGTTGAAATGAAATTGACCAATAGAAGCAGGGCAAAGCTCTTGTGTGAAATCGGTCTCAGTCTCCAGGAGGGGGCTGGATACCTCCCAGACTACAGAGATCAGTTCCCCTGGAGCAAATGGCTGCTTTGGAGAATAAAACTCTATGGCATTATACCCCACTGAGGTCCCTGTCTTCCCCAGGCTCCATCCCCAAATCTCCAGGAGTTTCCCAAACTGGATCTGGCAACCGTATGTTTTCCCAGCATCAGTCCAGAACCTGGAGGTTCAATTCCTCTGTCAGGTCGAATAGCCAGCGACAGACCTACCTTCTGTCAATCTTCCAACTCCCGTTCAGGTTTTCACTCAATATTTTGTGTGCATCCATGTATTCATTTTTTATTTATTTATTTATTTATTTATTTGGATTTTTACCCCGCCCACCCGCCAAGGCGGCTCAGGGTGGCTTCTCTTGCTCGAAAGCCAGTCGAATCCGACTCTAGAGGTGCCGGGCTCCAAACGGAGATGAGCACCGCAACCCTAGAGTCGGATTCGACTGGCTTTCGAGCAAGGGAACCTTTACCTTTACCTTTATTTGGACCATGCACTTTTGAGTTTCTGTCTATTTTTTGTATGTTTGAAAAACTACTCTCTTTATATAGTGTTAGATTATTACACTCCTTGATTGTTGAATATATATTTTTGTTATTTATGCATGATTTGATCTTTTGTATCTTTGTTATTACTAGTAGGGCTGCCATTCTCCCGACCCGGGTGGGGGTTTGCCCGCTTTCGGGCCTCCAGACCCACTGGCCTGGATTCGGCCAACAGGGGGACCCCGCCCCAAAGCACCCTGTTTGCCGCAGTGCACCCAGCGCAATAATGTCACCTCGAGGTGATGTCATCACATAGGGCACATTCCGGGGGGAGGGGCAGTCGATCATTTAAGGAAAAACCGTAGAGTTTTTCCTTAAATAATAGAGCGTCCCCCAGAACATGCCCTTTTCGATGCTGTCACTTCCGGGCGATGTCATTGCAGCGCATGTGCACTTCGCATGCACACCGAGGAACTCCAGAGCAAGGGCAAAGACCAGGACACACACACACCCTGCCGGAGGCCTGGTAAGACCTGGCCAGGGGTCATTTCCTGCAGGAGCGCACAGGAGCGGAGCTCCAGCAGTAAAGAGCC